AAACCTTAAGATCTCTGTCTAGACTCAACCAAATCACATGGGGTTTGTTTCTAGACCTTCATCTACTTAAGACGAACACATCTATATGGTTAATCAAGTATGAAATAAAGCCATTACATATGGAGAGTTAAAATAAGCTCAGGTTAGGGTTAGAGCTCAATACCTTTGTCTGAGAGGGGAGGCCTCAATCAGATGGTTGTGGTAGCTTCGATTGAGTCCAATGAACCTCCAGATGAAGTCCCAAACCCTGGTGAATTTTCTAGCTATGATTTCGATCAAGGTGGATTTCAGGTGTTGGTCTAGAGCTATCCTAGAGGTTGTTTCAGAGAGGGCTTTGATGGGGAATCAACTCTTCTTGCTCTAGGGATGGTGTGTGCACAATTAATTTGAATTTGGTGGACTGTAAAGAGATGTCCTGATCTGAGCTGAAAGTCTGAGCTTAAAATTGGGCTCTCACAGTGAGAATCAAAGTGGGAAGATGGTTGGATTGAGCTTAAGGATGCTTGGAGAGCCTCTTGTGAGATTTTGACAGAGTTTCCCCAAGGATTTTTGAACACCTCTCCTTTGGCCATAGAGGGGGCTGATTAAATAAAAGGGCATGGGCTGGCCACCAGGGCCAATTGATGGGTGCAAAGAGTTTCTTAGGTGGAGGGTTGAGGAGATTTGAAAAGCAATTAGGATGAGCTAGCCTCTAGTGTTGAAATTAGGTTTAATTTAAGGGTGGTGGCTCACGGTTTTGGCATTTTTTGGCGAGTAGGGTGGCTGATCAGAGCAGGGGAGGTGGTTAGGTGAGCCAGAGAGGGTTAAGTATGATTTACCCCTAATGGTTAGTGATGATGGAAGAGATTTCTTGGTTAAGGCCCAAAAATGGGATACAATCCCTTAATTTAGGGACCCATTGGTCCATAGCTGATTTTGGTGGATTTATGATGGTTCAACCTGGTCCAAAGGAGGAGCTTAGTGGCTGTGGGGGTCCTTGGTTGACCAATTTGGTTTGATTAAGTCAATTTAGGTGAAGGGGTTCAATTTGGGTCAAAATGGCTAGAAGTTGGGTTTGGGTTAGGCTAGCCATGACATTGAGCTCAATTGATTAATCAATTTGGTGTAGATGATTGTCATGAGGAGTTTATAAAAGATTTAGAGTGATTTTGAATTGGTTTGGAGGTTCAATTTGGAGGATTTTGGGCATTTGGTCAATTTGGAGTGAAAAATAATTCATGCTTATCTCCAAATAAGGGATAATCTTTGGCTGCATCACTGGGTTAGGTCAAAATTGATGGTTCAAAATGTTCTATAGGAATGTCATGAAGAGTTTTCAGCATAAATTGGGTGTCAATTTTGGGGTTAGGGCATTCAATTTGGTGGTTAGGTGTCAATTTTGGGGTTAGGGCATTCAATTTGGTGGAATTTGGAAACATAGCCAATTTGGGGCAAATTTGGGGATTTTGAATGTGGGTTGAAACTGAGGCTTGGCCAAGGCCAAATGAAGGTCCAATTTGATTTTTAGTCAAGAGGTCTTAAGGAAGCTCTAGAAGCAATTTAGCAAAGTCTCCCCAATGAATTTCAAGCTCTCCTCCTTTGGCCATGGAAGGTGGGTTTAAAATTGGGCCTTTTTTATTTGAATGAAACTGGGCTTGTAATTGGATCAAATTGTGCTTGAATTTTGTTTAAATTAGAATTGGGGATGCTAAATTTTTATTTAGAATTGAAATTGGGCAAGATTAGGGTCTATTGGGCCAAAATTGGAGGTGAATTTGGAGAAATTGGGCCTTTAAGGGCAAATTGGGGCTTTTTGGTCCAAGTGGTCAAATTGGCTAAATTGGGTTCAATTAAAGGGTATAAACTGGTTTTAGGGACATTTGAAATGATTTTGAGGGTTTTAGGAAAGTTTGGGCTACCAAGGGTATTTTTGTAATTTTGGCAAATTTGAGGGTATTTTGGTAATTTTGGAATTTTTGTATTTTGGACAATTTGGGAAATTTCAAATGGTTTGAGATGATTTTTGAATAAGTTTGGGTATTTTGGATGAGTTTGGGAATTTTGGTCAAATTTGGGGTATGGGGGTGTTCAGGTAATTTGGGTGGATTTGAGGGTAAAAAGCCAAGTTGTATATTTTGGTAGAATTAGGGTGCCAACCACCTTATATGAGCTATGGATCAATGAAATCCTCATTTGGGTCCTCTATGTACTGGCCTTAACTAAACTCTAGTGTAGGGCCAGTGGGTCTAGGGGACCATCTACATGAGTTTCCCAAAAGATCAAGGGATCAAAGTCAACAAATATGGGTTTTAGGGTTGTAAGTGAAAGTGGGTGCAAGTGAGTGAAAGTGAGTGAACTAGCTCCATAAAAAACACCCAGGGTCAACCTTAAGGCCAAGCAGTCCTATGGGGACTCCCCTTGAGCTTCCTCTAGAGTGGCCCCACATACTAAATGCTAGAGGTTAGGACCAGCATATGAAACTTTAAGTTGAGCACAGAAGGGTTCAAAGTTTCTAAAGGTGAGAGTTCCTTTTCTAGTTTTCTAGGAATAGTCAAAGGAATTCTTATGGCTAGACCTTAGGCTACTAAAGAGGGAAAACTAAACCTCAACCAAAAGTGAGGTTAACAAATCAGAAAGAGGGGAATTACAGAAAATGCTAGGTTAATGAAAATTTGATTCTGAAATGATGTTTGCATGCCTTTTTACTTCAGTTAGATAATCTTGTTAGAGAATCATGAAGTCCTACATGAGAACCATTAATATTATTGAGTCCTAGTTTGGTATGAGAGTATTTGAGGGCAAGTAATGTATAAGTTTTGGGAAATTGATATGAGATAAAATTTATGTTATTTTTCCACCAGAAATACTAGTTTTTTCTTACTTAAAAATCATGATTTATACTTGTGGAGGTTTTATGGTGATATTTGACATTTTATAGGTATCAAGTGCACACACGAAGTCATCAAATTTAGAGGACCGATGTAGTTGCATCGGACCTTGGGTTAATTACGTCGGGTTCAGTGTTGATCTTGCGTAACTACGCAAGACCTTGGTGTAGCTACTTCGATTTTTGTGTAACTTTACTGACCATGGGTGTGCTTATGTTGTTGCCTAATGAGGACCAAATTGACTTGATTTTGCATGAAAATTTTGGCAAGAGCTGCATATGAGAACTTGAGCATGATCTTGGGGGAGTTGGGCAAGCTTTGGAGGTTCTCTTCAGTAAGAATTGGGGTTTTACTTCAAACCTTAGATGCTCTTTTCTTCTTTCTTTGGCGAGAAAAACTCTAATGTAGTTTTTCTTTTGACTTTTGAGAGTTTTCGTATGAGAGATAAGTTGAGTGATAAGTGTGAGAGAGATTATGGAGAGTTTATATTTGTAAAGCGGGGAGTTGATGTATTGCTAGGGGTACTTAGCTTGGTTATAATTTGTACCTTCTTGTATTTGTAACTTTAAATACTTTCAATGAAATTATTCATGTTTTTTTCTCTCCTGTCTAGTAGCTAAATCTACTTTCATGTTCCTGTGTAAAGATAGTTTTTATTGATGTTTTACAATGAGTTTTTTTTTTCATGTACATTTTTTGGTGCTTTTGAATTATGCATGGTGTTGTGTTAACTTTTTTTATCATCATTTACTTATAATATGATCAATTAGGTAGTTAAACTTCTTGTAGTTTAGAAATTCTAACAATTGCCTAGAAAAAAAAGTAGGTTAACACACGATAACTTAGTGGAATAGACATATTGTCAGTACAAAATTGTAACCCAGATAGGGAATCCAATGAATCCTAGGAAACGCTGAATTATTAAATATTTGTTTGTTGTAAAATTGCTTCCAACTCTTCTTATGACCTAGATATAAACTATGGAGAATTGTCCCCGGTTGTCAACTCTTCGTAGGGGAACTCATAGGAAAATATAGATAAAACATTATACCATTGTCTTAGGAGCATGAGCCTCATTACCTCTGAAGGACTCAAGGTTGTTATTTGTCATTTCTATTTACATTTATTTTGTGTTTACTACGTCATTTAGGTTTGTTAGAGATTTTTATTCTTGCATTTTAATTACTTCAAACTAGATTCAGTGATTTAATAAACTAGAATTTCTTCTGTTAGAAACATTTTAATAATATTTTATTCTTGTGATTTCATGTGGTTTACTTATTTCTCTTGGTTGTTATTTGCATGTGTAGTATAGAAAATAAATTTTGGGAATACTATTGCAAAATTTGTGCCTTAGAGAAATACTATCTAAATTTTAGACTTTAAAATAAAATTATAAACTTAACTAGGCTTCATTGAAATTTTAATAATATGCAAAGAACATAATTAAAAGTGGCACTAATAATCATTATGAGTTGAATTAAACATTAATTCCCTAATAACTAACCTTTTACTACAATTAATAATTCTCATTTATAATGACTTTTAAATACAAACTAATTGAGTACATATAAAATTAATTCATCAATCAAATAAAATTTAATAAATATCAATCTAAATAATTTAATTAAAGTTCGAATCCTTTGAACTATAATATTTTGGATAAAATTATAAAGTGATTGAGTAATATGATTTAAAAAAGAATTAATATTCAAAATCATTAAAAGAAATGAACAAAACCAAATATAATAATCAATTGAAAAAGAGAAAAGAAAATAAAGAAAATAAAAAGAAGTTCAAGATCTTAAAGATAAAAAATTGAAGAGCCTTTGAGGAGAAGCTCGAGGTTAAGATATAAATTTAAAATTTGTATTAATCATCTTTCATAAATATAAAGAATTAAAATTGAATTAGAGTGACTAAATTAAAATTATTTTATTGAATAGTACAATTGAATTATATGTATTTTGTGAGAAACTAATCTTTTAAATAAAAAGTGTTAAGGCAAACAATCAAAATTATTACTTTTTAAGACAGTTTGATAGCAATCATTGAGCTTCAACTTAAGCAACAAATAGCTTCCGAAAACCTCTCACAACACTAAATAATAGGGATTCATAAAAATTGGACCTAATTACTTGGTAAAAAACTTACAACAATGGGGTTTAATTTCTAAATTTCAAGCTTACAAAATAATACAAAAAAAAAAACTCCTTGGCAATGTAAGTATGATATTACTTTTAAAACCGACTACAATTCTGTACAACTGTTTTCATTATACATTATTTTTGCAATCCACCAAGGCAATTGAGACTTCTACTGCCTAAACCAACAGAAAAGTTAAATAAACTAATGAACAAGAACGTTTAACCAAAATCTGAATTGGAAGTCTACACCACACTACTGTTTTCCCTTCATTCCTCCCTCTTCCTTCCCAACCATTTTCAGCTCCTTATCGCCCTCTCGGGCTGCTCTTCTTCCATCTTAATTAATGTCTGAAGAGGTGCCCTCATCATCTCATCTCTCACAGCTTCACCATCTTCTCCTCTTCCAGTTTTAACCATCTCCATTTCCTTACCTTGCTCTACTCCACACTTGTTTCCTGCTTCAGACTCCAAGTTCGACATGATCACCAGACCAGCTCCATTCTCACATGGCAGAATATTTATAACTGTCTGACTTCCATCCTCACTTTCATTCCTGTAAAAACTATCATTCTGAACATCATAAAAGTTTCCAGTTCTCACCTCCTGTGCCAGTGAGCACGACCAACAGAAGAGCCATTGCATGAAATCAGTACAAGCTAAGAACCCAAAGCAACAAGTATTACCAGGAAGCTTAAATCTCTTCCTCATTTGAATCCTCCAAAATCCTCCATAAAGAAATCCAAACAGGCATAGAACAATTCCTATAATCCCCACAACGTCTCTGATCGCTTCATCATTTATATTAAGCGCTGTTACGCTAAAGACTAATAATGGCGCGCTGCAGAGGAGTATGAAAGTTATGATATGGACATACATGTTGCCAAATCCAAGCCTTTCCATATTCCATCCAAAAATGCAGAAGGTGCAGAAGAAGGAGAGGCAGTAAACAGTGAGATCATTCCAGCAATAAAAGAGTCCTCCAGCCCACTCAGGTGAAGTTACCTCCACACTCTTGCTGTATAACTTCAACTCATTCTCCTCATTGTTGCTCCGCTGTGATTCTTCATCACTCTCGGATTCAGTCCTCCTTCCTAGGGGGCTGAAAACTGCGTACAGAGCAGCAATAATGGGTGCTCCAGTTCCAAGAGCAATGAAGAGAATCTGTGGCCAATCTGGCCTTGTATTGCTTGTATATGCCCAGTAAAGAGCACAAAGGCCATACTGAGAGAAGCAAGTGATTTGAAGAAGGAAGACAACAAACATGATATGAGCCCTCTCATGTGGCTTTTTCGTTCCATTCTTGCAGTATACTTTTCTTAGCTCAAGGATATCATTTGGTTTCCAGTGACATAGAAGAACTAAATGGTGGGAGATTCTGGGGTGCTGATACAAACACATGATGGTGAATAATGCGTTGAGAATTTGGTTGAAGATCTCAGTCCATTTTTTTCTAACAGAGCTCTTTGGGATGGTTTGGTTGAGGATGCCAGTCATGAGTAAGAATAGGACAACAAGGCAGGCAGCCACAAAAAAGAGCCAGAAAAGAAGAGCTATGTTCATTGGGTGCTTGGCCCACTTCTTACTGTATCTAAACAGGGACCCCCAGTTGATTTTTCTAACAAATGGGACTCGGAAGCGGCGGCGACCACCATCCCTAGTGCTGGATGTTGTATCTGGTGTTGGTGGATTGCTGCTCATGTTTTGCATCTGATTTTGATTTCACCAACGGAAAGAGAAGGAACTGGAAACAAAACCAAAAGTTGAGGAGCCTGTTTTCTTATGGTTTAGCCTGTTTTCTTATGGTTTAGCTTATGGTTTAGCTTAAAAAAAAAAAAATCAAGGAACCATTTTTTTCCGTTGTCTCTGGTTAGAATTTCAGTTTTTATAGCATTTTTTGTTACAAGGATCAATACAAAGTGTTACAAACATTGAGAAAGTTGGAAAGATTGTTCATCATATGGCACCCCTAAGTGAAAAAAATATGTATAAAAATCATAGTTTATATAAAGTGAAGCTTATCTGTACTTCTTAGATTTTGTGATCCTAATTATATAAGGCTTTTTTATTATCTAGTGTTGAAGCTTATGTAATGCAACTTAAATTTAGAAAAAACAATTATGACATCTTGATTTGTAGTCTTCTCATGTGAGCCACTACTCCACATTTACCTTTTTTTTTCAACATAATGAATTATTCAAACTTGAGACCTATTCTTTGTTATTATTCTTTCACTAGTTATATAAAAAGCTATAGTTTATTTGAGCTAAAACTTATGGTTATTACTTTCTCCTATGAATTATCAGTTTGATAAATTAATGCATCATCTCTGTCAAAAGAAACATCTAAGAAAGTTTATCCTTAAATTTTTAATTGCAATAATGGTAGAAAATAAAATTCCGCTCTGCATAACACATTAACAAAAAATTTACAAATAATACCTGAAATTTCTTTTCAGCTTTTCTTTTTCTTTTTTTTTTCTGGCCATATCAACTTCATTACTTAAACGCTGACACTATTGACTTGTAGGCTGCTTGCATCTGTTCGTTTGAAGTTGAAGCTCTTTTGGTTTAAATTATTTCTTTTCCTTCATCATCTAATTGATCAATATAAACCTCTCTTCTAACTTTTTTATTATTTTCTATCTGTCCTGAAATATCAATTTTATCCCTCCTGAAGTGCCACTTTGCCCTTCGTTGCCTGTCTTTTTCTTCTTCTTCTTTTTTGACCTTATCAACTTCATTACTTAAAAACTGGCACTGCTGACTCGTATGTTGTTCGCTTGAAGTTGAAGCTCTTTTGGTTTAAATAATTTCTTCTCCTCTATCTTCTAATTGATGAATATAAATCTCTCTTCTACCTTTTTTTTTTTTATTTCCAATCTGACACTCTTGAAATATCAATTGTATCCCTCATGAAATACCACTTTGCACTTCGTTGCTCTTAACACCTCCCACACTGGGACTAGAGAGACAGTCTGCCCCCGCCACCCGCCCAAGTCCCGGCTCCCCTGAGTTCAATCAATTTCTTCTTCCTCTTGAAATCACTAAGGTGATGTTTGGTATCCTATTTTAGGCTGGATTAATTTCAACAAACTTATTTTTGGGGACTGTACATCCTATTGTTTTTATAAATCCAATTTCAGTCCGGTATTAGCTAAATTCATGTTTTTTAAATCACACAATTCAAAGAATTTAACGAATCTAAAAGTATTTATTCTCCTATAAACCTTAAATCACGGAAAAAACAATAAAACAGTATATAGTCCAGAAAAATTTACTCTGCAAGTTTTAGCCATAAAGATTTACTAGATCTGGATCAACTGGATTTACTAAAAGCCCAACTTGAATTAAATACCTACTTGTATAAATATTTATTTTTTCTATCAGCCTGTTCTCGTAAGCTTTCAGAAGTTACAAACAAATATCTAAACTTCTGACTGGTTAAATGAATGATTCAGTATGCATATTCATGGAGTTTCAATAAAGTAAATCTTCGTAACCAAAAAAACAAAAAAATCGAAAGAAAACCCGATCTTTCAAATTCTGTAACAAGATTTTGATCTTTTAGTACCCTGAATCTGCAGCACTTCACAGTTTGAAAAATCCATTCCGTTTAATCTCTCAGAAATCAATCGCACCCTAAACCCTAAATGAACAAGACTAGAAAGAGAGAGGAAGAGAGATGCAGTACCTTTCAATCTGATGTCTGGGGCTTCCCTTCTCCAGCGTGCGAGGTAGAGCAACAAGTCTCCTCTATATAGAGGTAAGACTATAAGAAAATTTTGAATCCCGACATCTGACCCAAAATTGACAATATTAATTTGAAGGATTTACAAAAATACCAATTCAAACATCTAAAATTTAATATTTGTGAATAATAATTTAACATTATAATTATAAATAACTACATATAACCAATATTAAAATATATATTAAGGGTTGGATAAATAAATATTAAAATTTAAATATTAGAGATAATTAGGGGTGTAAACGAGACGAACACGAGCTGAAAGCCAGCCCAGGCTCATCTCTCGCTCTCAGCTCGTGTTCGGCACGTTTATATTTCGAGCTCAAAAAGTGTGTTCGTGTTAAGCTCATTTGTTTAGCTAGCCGAACACGACTCGTACACCAACAAAAAGTCGTTTTGACAATCCAAATCACGTAGCCATAAGATGTTAAGATTTGTGACAAGATTTAAAACATCGTTTGAATATAATTTAATAATTTTTATTCAACTTTCTTAATTAATATTTCTAATTGGTTTTAAATCTTAGTAGTCTTGTAGTCAATTAACTTTTTTAAAAATACTACTCATTAAATATATATATATATATATAATTGACTTTGTTAATGTTGTTTGTGTTCGGGTCATTAACTTAAAGAACGAGCTGAACACGAGTTGCTCGCGAACAACAAGTCATTTTGACCGCCCTAGTACACCCGAAACCCCTCTATAAAAGTAGTTATTTTTATTAACACATAAATTAAAAAATAATTATTACAACGGGCAAACAAAAAAATGGAAGCATGTTTGCAATTTTCAGTCCGCTCCGGTCTTTTATTCATATTCGACAAATAATGCTTTAATTACAACAAAATGGGTCAAAAAAGAACGGCTTGATGTGACGTGATGCGCGGGAAAAAGCATTGCATGTCTTCAAACGAAAGCTCCCAGAACAAAACGAGACCGATGGACGCGGAGGAGTGAAAGCTCCTCCAAGCATGCAAACAAGACCGCAATCAATATGCGTTTAAAATATGTGGAGCGGCAAAAACGGCCGGTTTGAAGTATGACTTTTCACACCGGTCTGGCCCGGTTCACATCACTTGCATTGCCACTAGTTGTGCCGGTCTAATCGGATTGACTTGGACCAGATAAACATTCAACTCTTGTAGAATTACATACCATCATAATAAATAGCCCTTTACAAAATAATGATAATAATAATATGAGATTCGAACTGAATGTTTAGCCAATAAGCAAGTTAGTTTTATGTTTCAATGTTTGAGTCGACTTATTTTCATTTTACTGAACGAGAAAAAATAGTTAACAAACTCGCTCAATATTTGAAAAAAAAAATATTATTATTATATTTATGTAATCCATGTATGCTATGATTCGAGGAAAAATACTTTGTTGTTATATATAATATCTTTCACCCATGATATTGACGCTAAATCCATGATACCACGTATAGGTTCGTTGATTGGTTCAAACTCCCCTAATTAGTTTTAATCTAAACTCTATATATGATATCTTTTACTCATGACACTAACACTAAATCCATGATTCCACGTATGCTATATATATATATATATATATATAGTTTAGATTAAAACTAGCAAGGGGTGTTTGAACCAATCAACAAACATATACGTGGTATCATGGATTTAGTGTTAGTTTCATGAATGAAAGATATTTTATATAGAGTTATATTAAAAGGGAATTGTCAAAGGCTATGAGACGAGCCCTGACCATCCCTAGGTGATAAACATGAAGTGATATAAAATATGAAAAAACATGACATATGAAACAACATGACATGAATTTAGCAAAAATTAGGTATGATGTGGGATGGAAGTGAGCTAAGGTTAGTTGGGGTTCAATTGAAATTAGCTCAAACTAAGCTTAGATATGATGTAGGTTCGGTTGAATTGAACTAAGGTTAACCGATGTTGACCTTAGTTTGTCTAGGTTTGGCTAGGGTTGATATGGGTTACATATGGGTTGACCTAGGTTGGCCTGGGATGGACATGTGTTGGACCTGGGTTGACTTCGATTGACCAGGGTTGGTTATGAGTTAGCTTGGGTTAACCTGAGTTGGACTTGGTTAGACCTGGGTGGTTAGCCTGGTTTGGACTTGGGCTGAACTGAGTTGGACCTAGGTTTGGCATAGGTTGGCCTAGATTGATCTGGGTTGGACCATGATTAACTTGGGTTGGACCTGAGGATTTACCTAGTGGACTTGAATTTGGTATGTGTTGGACCAGGGGTTTTGGTCAAAATAGGCTGGGTTCAGATCGACATGAGTCAGACCCAAACCCAAGCATAACCCAAACCCAAGCATAATCCAACGCTAATTAATTGGGTTTACTTTAATTCAATTTTTCATGATATAAAAAGAAGGAAGAGGAAGCTTACCGGAGAGAAGACAAACTATGATGGTTTACCAAAGATAGGGCAATCCAATTCTTCTCCGTGCATGCTCGAAGTCACCATGTGGAAGTGCTCACCGAAGTGCAATCTTGACAACAACAGATGTGTCTATTTATAGGTCAGAGAGGTGGTAGCAAGGGACTAGGGGACCGCCAATTAAGGTGGGGATCCATAGTCAGGATTTTTTTTATGGTTGAAGCTTCTGCAGATCACTAGTACAAAAAGACATGTCAATTTGTTGTCATATTTGAAGATGAAAACTACTAATTGCTGGCATGGCTTGGTGCCTGGCCACGCCAGTGTCAGACATGAAAATACCCATAAACATTAAGTCATGAAAACACCAAAAATTTTTTAGCATGGTTGTAGTCGGACCAGGCGTAACCACACTAGTCCAAGGGTGAGTGTGGGCTCGTTGTGTGCTTAAAAACCTCGATCCACTAAGATAGAGTAAAACTCAAGTACTTTAAAGGTAAATATTAGCTACATTGTCTCTAAGATGATGTAGTTGGCGCCAAAATGTCGGTCATACCAGACGAAGATCAAGGTCCTTGATAAAAGCTAGAATATATCATGAACAAATCATTCATAGCTCAATGTGAGCATGTTTTAGATTTGAGTTGGATAAGTATTAGTTTTGAGTTTGAACGAAGGGTTGAACAAATGTGAGGTCAACTGTCATCAATCATTACCCTAGCCAAACCAACCTAAGAGGAGGTTCAAAAGTTGTTGGAGGCCAACTACACTTAGAGAACCAATATCTAGTATGGGTGTCAAACATTAGCATGGTGCATAAATCAAATGATAAGTGGAGATTTTTTGTTGATTTCATCAATCTAAATATCGCTTGCTTGAAGAATAGCTACCCCTTACCACAGATCAATGCACTCCTAAACATAGTATTCAGTTATTTTATGATGAACTTCCTCAAGGTCTTCTCTGATTATAATCAGATTAAGATGCATTTGATCGACACTGTAAAGAATGAATTTATCATAAGAGAGGGAGTGTATTGATATTGCATGATGAATGTAATTTTTACTAAACATAAAAAAATGTAGAAGTATATGTAGATGATCTCTTTGTGAGAAAACAAATGCCCAATGAGCTTAAGAATGATTTAAAGAGACCTTCAAAACTTAAGAAAATTTAATATGAAGCTCAATCCTCTTAAGTGTAAATTTAATCAGCTTTCTGAATATGGGCCTCTCCATCTCATCTTGAAGTGTTTTAAACCTTTATCTCTATTACTCCAACTCTGCTCGTGCCTACAAAAGATCTCTCATCTAAACATCGAACTCATGAATCCTTTTGGAAACTTATTTAAAGTTTACATAAGCCGCCTTATTGTCAGACAAATCCATTTCAAGTCATTTTTTATAATACATTGGAAACTTTATTTTCCACTCAAATGCAACTTTTCTATTAGCATATTTTGTCACAATGCACTCAATGTTGAGCTTTTGTCCTTAAAGTATATTTAACTTCAATTATAACTCAGCTAAAGTAGGTTCTTAAAGAGAGATTTTATTTTCTAGTTTAGTTTGATTGGCTTTAAACTCTTTCATCTCCCTCACAAGAGCAGGATGAGACACACCTACTGTGTAAGCCCACTGCATATACACTACCATGCACTCCATCATAGGAACATGATGGTCCTCTGACTAAAGATCTTAATTCAAATCCCTTAGGTTTTTTTAATTTACCACCATGCCCAAATGAAATGTCATCAATGAGTACCCTCCTTTAAGATACTAGTCTAACTTAACATCAACCAATGCTCAACTTTTTCCCTAATTCATGATTATCACCTAGCCTTTCAATGTGGTGGTAATCCATGAAAGCTCTAATGATCAAAAATTGTTGTGAAGTGAATGATCACTTCATGCAAGTGTACGTGTTTATTAGAAAGCTGTTTGCAAGAGTACCACGTATAGTTCCCACATGAAAATAAGTTAAGAATAGTTCAAAATTGATGAATCTACAGTTTACTAGCTATACAACCTAGTTCAACATGACTAGAAAAATAGAGAATAAAAATCATAAATCTAACAAAGCTGACAGAAAATAGAAGCAACATGAAGCAAGAGTGAAAGTTCTTTAGTTTATTCAAGAATGTTGAGAATCATACCTCTGTGATTCAGGTGTAGTGCCTAAGTATATTTCTCTAATAGTTTCTTCTATGTGATTGTTGTCAACCAAGGACGATGTTTCTTCTAATCCTACTTCTATGTCAGAAAAAGAATTGGAAACCCATAATGTTAAGTTTTTCTTAATCATATAGTGTTTCCCAATGTTTCTCTAATCCTATTTATTGATTGCAAAACCAAATTAAAATATGCCTATTCTAATAGAATTTTGTTGTTAACTCAATCGTTCCACTAAGCAACAAGCAGAAGTCATTGATCATGATAGGTTTCATGTTAGGCGTAAATGAAGCCCGAAAAGTTAAACAAGAATGTTGACATCAAAACAATGGAAAACATATCACCAAAAAAATGCGGAGAAAAACATAATAAGAAAATTATCCATGAATCAGAGTGGCACGAAAAAGAAATTTAACTATTCATATCAAGAGAAAAAATCGTATAAAAATCAATGGAAATAAGCCTACAAGC